CACGGAGGGGCTCGTGCCATGGTCCACTGCAGCGTCACATCATCGGCAGCCAGGCCAGATGCTAGATTTCCTCCCCGGCTGCAGAGGGGACAGAGGAGACGGTGCTGGCCCCAGTCTGTGCTCCTGTCGGAGGCAGCGCCCTGTGCCCTCACACCCTCTCCTGCTGCGACATGCGGCTCTCCTTGCCATCCTCCTGGGCCACGGGCTGGCCCCTGTGCAGGGTCTTGTGCACAGGGCAGACATCTTCCCCATTGTCTGCTGGCTGCTGGACCTCCAGGATGTCTTCAGGCATCTCAGTCTCCATCTGCACAGCAGGAGGGGTCAGGGGCAGGCAGCTATGTCCCCCACCTCTGGGGCCACGTCTCTCCACAGGCTCCAGCTATGTTCCCATGCAGGGCAGGGCCTCACCCTGTGCGGGTCCCTCCTGCCTCAGCATTTGCCAGCAGCACCCCAGGGTTGCCACAGCTCTTGTCCTGTCCCAGCTGGGCCCCCCTAGGACAGCCCCCACCCTCCTGCCCTGAGAGCCACAGCTCCTGCTCTGTTGCCTTCTGCTGCTGGCACATCCCCAGCTGTACCCAGGAGGGACCCCAACCCACTGCTGGAGGGCTCTGGGCACTCACCTGCTTCTGCACGCGTCGCCTGGGATCTGGATGGACAGAGAGACAGAGAAGGTAAAGGTCAGCAGAGATTGCTCCTGCCCTGCAGTGAGCTTTCAGGGGTCAGAGCCGGAGCTGGTGCTGCTGCACTGCAGGCCCTGCAGCTCACGTTGTACCTGGCTGCCCCTGCCAGGCTGGAGATGCTGGGGGCCACAGCAGGGGGACCGTGCTGGACCCACAGGGCACCAGCACCTTCCTCACAGAGCTGGTCTGGCTTGGTCTGCAGCAGTGCAAACATGCCTGCTCCCACAGACAGAGCCCACTGACCCGGCAGGGCAACGGGCTCGGGGAGCCGTCCCCTGTCTGTGTCCCCAGAAGGGCTGCCCCACTCTTGGCAGAGCTGCCATGGCCCTCCCTGCTGGGCTCCTTGGCCCTGTATGGCCCCTCTGGCCAAGGCATCACTTCCCATGTCCCAGCCCCTTACCTGTGTGGACCAGGCAGTAAATGGAGAGGCCCACGAGGCACGTGACGACTGCGGCCGTGATGGGGATCAGCACCGACAGCGAGGAGCGCCTGCCCGACTCTGCCGAGGGAGATGGGGTCAGTGAGGCACCCGTGTGACAGTCCCACTGAGACGCCGAGTGCCCCAACCTGCCTCTGCTCCGAGCCCAGTCCCGCAGGGATCCCTCACAGCGACAGAGAGGAGCAGGAAGACATCATGCCAGCAGTGTGGTCAGACCCTCCTCTCCCAACAACACCCACGGGCCAGGCCAGCTCCTCCGAGTGCTGCAGGAGCCGGAGCACCAGGAGATCTCTGCTCTGCACTTACCGCAGATCACATCAGAGGTGTTCGTCCCTTTCGCCTTCACCATCAGCCCCTTTTCCTCGCAGCTGCAGGGAAGAACAAGACCACGTAACCACAGCATCAGCCTGAGCACACGGAAAACCCCTGAGAAGGAACGGCCAGGGCTGGACAGCCAGCAGAGCTGTGCGAGAAAGCGTCCTGCACTGAGTCTACCAGGCTCTGGAGGGGCATGCGGCTGGAGGTCCCCTGCCAACACCGGAGCCTGTGCTTTGTGACGGGGACGCCAGGTACATAGCAGGGCCCCACGCCGGGGTCCTGATCTGGAGTTACTGAAACTGCTGAAGATGGGGACAAATCTGGGGACAAGGCACAGCAGGGAGCAGATATTTGAGACCTGCCTGGTCAGGGAGACCCTGGGGCTCAGGCACTGCAGCTATTACAGAACAGCTTGGAGATGACTCGATGACAGGCTACAAGTGGCTCCGTGGGGAGGTAATTTCTGGGCACAGATAAAAGCAAAGTGAAATCCAATGGCTGACAGCTGAAGCGAGACTAATTCAGCCTGGAAATAAGGCTCACGTTTCTCCTAGGGAGTGCAATTAACCCTCGAGCAGCTTTGTAAAGAGAGGGATGACCTGCCAGCCCGTGGCATTCTTAAAGCCAGACTCCTCACAGTGAGGGCTGGTGCCCTGGCTGATGACTACAGCCAAGGAGTGTGCTGGGAGCGAGAGCCTGGACAGGGCATGGTGGGTCCCCGTAGCCCCTCATCCATTGCTCCCCAGTGCACACAACAGCATGGACATCCCTGGAGGGGCCAGCACTCTGTACACGTGCTGAGGGACAGTCACAGGTGCCTGGATGCCTGCCTCGAGCTCAGCCACACCGCCCTGAACCTCACCGCCCTCACAGCTCTGCTCCTGTTGTTCCCACCCTACACCAGCCTGATGCTGTGTCCCTCAGAGACCATCCCAGCCACCTGGTATCCCAGGCCCCTAAGGGGGCTGGCGGCAGAGGATGTGCTCGTGGGGACTGGGCACATCTGGAGATGGGTAAAGGATGTGGTCAGCACTCAGACAACACCTTGTCCAGGGATGGCATGGCTCCGTTTTAGAAGAGACATTGGAGAAGGTGCCTTCTGCACAGGGCTCGCAGGGCGATGACATCCGGGCCTGGGCCTTGGCTGCAAAGGAGCAGAGGTTGCAGGAAGGTCAGTACGGGCTGCAGGAGGTGAGGGGCTGGGGGGGTCAGGTGAGCGGCCCTCCCCGTGGCAATGCTGCCAGGCGCAGCGCAGGCGCAGCTCTCCCGAAGTCCTGCTAGGGCTCCTTGCTGGGGGAATTCCCCTTTCCCTGGAGGGCCCGAGGTCAATGCTGCCAGGGCATCAGTCCTGCTGGGAGGGAGGACCTGGTCAGACTCACCTGCCACGAAGCCGAAGCCGCGCTGGCAGGGCTGGTTCTCCACGCAGGTCTGGCAGCTGGTGTCGGAGCAGTGCGTGCCGTCCTGGCACTGGCACACCGTGTTGTGTGTTGCGTTTCCCTGCGTCTTCACGATGAGGCCAGCATCTGGGCAAAGGGAGCATGGGTGAGCTGAGACACCAGACGGGTGAGCCCGGGGGACACCGGCCCCTGCAGCCCCCGCAGGCTGGGGCCAGCGGGCACAGGGAGCACTTACTGTCCTCACAGATATCATGGGGAGCACAGTGCCTCTCCTTGGTCCAGCTCTGCTGGTAGTGCCCACTCTCGCAGCGGGTGCAGACAGATTCTTCTGTGTCATTGCATTCGGAGACCAGCTTTTCCCCTGCCAGAGAGGCTGGTGAGGAGGGGGAGAAGGAGCTTTCCCCCTCTCCAGGCCCGCAGCTCTGCCAGCAGGACAGGGGAACGCTGGTGGCTGTGGATGCCAGGGCTGCTGTGGGCGCAGGGCTGCTGTGGCATGCTGCTCGGTAGCCGGATCCCGCTCCGGCAGCCAGGGTTGCAGGGGCCAGCTCATCCGGTGGCTGCGCACGCTGCATGGGGCTGGGTAGGGAGGGGTGCTGGGTGCTGGGGCAACAGAGCAGGGGAGGCATTCACTGCCTCCAGCACTCCAAGGACTGGGAAACAATCTGGCAGTGACAGTGGGAGCTGGCAAATACCATCATGATCTGGCAGTGCCAGTGGCAGCACCTTCCCCGGAGGCTGCCCTTGCCACGCAGTCCTGCAGCTGCAGGAGCACAAACCGTCCCAAGAGAGCTGTCACAGATTCAGTGGGGTCTAGGGGGGTCTCCCAGGGCACCCATGAGGCCCCC